GTTCTGTGGGGTGAAGATGACGGTCCAGTCTAGTTCTGTGGGGTGAAGATGATGGTCCAGTCTAGTTCTGTGGGGTGAAGACGACAGTCCAGTCTTAAACCCTGGGCAGCTCTCCGGATCTCCAGCCCACTTCGTGCTTATCTCCAACAATGTCCTTCAGGATACCATGTTCTGACAATAACTGGCTCTTCTGTCATCAAAGAACCAATTATTTGCATGATGTCCCCTGCTATCTAGGGAGACAGACTAAGAACAAACACAGATGTAACCCAGGAAATGATTCCAGGATCCCATAAAGATGATGCCACACCAAGCCTTTCCCAGCCTTCAGTTATTTGCACAAGCACACTATTTATTTAAAGTCTATCTGCCTCATCTTATTTACTTTATGTTTGTGAGTGCTTTGCCTGCATACATGTCTGTGCACCACATGCATGCCTGTTGCTGGTGGAGGTCAGGAAAGGGCATCAGATCTCCTAGATCTGGAGTTATCGATGGTTGAGCTGCCATATGGGTGCTAACAAGTGAATCCAGGTCCTCTGCAAGAGCAGCAAGTGATCTTAACCACTGAACCATGTCTCCAGACCCATCTTTGGCTATTTTTAAAGACACCATAGTTGTGCATACTTTGAGATGCTGGCTTGGGTTTTCACATCATCCATTCCTTCCATAGTCACTAGGGAGAGAGATTCTTCCCACAGAGTTCTTGGGAGTGCTCAACTTGATAAAATGATTTAAACTTCCCAGATAGAGGCAAATAATCTTAAATGTCATAGCTTTTGGTTAATATTTTTAAGGGAAGAGGATGTTTTAGATAATTAATATTAAGTCTATCCAAGAGGAAGGGTATAAAGAATAGATAATCAGTAAGTATAACATATACAAAGTTATCTAGTCAAAGGGAATTGGATGGGAGGAAAGTCAAGAAAGGCAGCCATAGAGTAGATTTTCCCTGGTGGCTGAGAAGGGCCTCAGGATGATTCTAGCAGGCACTGGGAAGTAGTGCTCCTTAAACTTTAATGTCATGTAGATTTTGATTCAGCCACAGGGCCTGACAGTCAACATTCTGACAGTGCTTGGATGGTGTGATGCTCCTGATAGACCACATTTTTGCTCAGCAAGGCTGTAGAAGTTCCTAAGTGTTCCCATGGCCTCAACAGGGGTAGGGGGAAGGATGGGCTCTAAGACTGGTTGGTGATGGATCTGGAAGCAGATGGAGAAGGGCAAGACCCTGAAGCCAGGAACCAGTGCTCAAGCACACTGTGTAAGACTTGGGAAATCACAGTGCCTTCTACGAAGGAAAATATTATGCCTGGTGCTGGCTCACTCCCTAACACCAGAACACAAGCTACTTCAAAGGACCCAGGGGATTGGGATGCCCAGCAAGGAGGACATACATGAGGAGGTAATGTGGCTCCGAAGAAACTGCAAATGGATACATGATAATGTTTTCACCCAATGCATGCTACGCAGCAGTAAGTATAACCCTTACTGGGGCATGGCACATTCCCAGTGCTTTAGTTCTGTAGTTGTCTGACATTTCTAATACAAAAAAGATTAATGAGCATAAGACAGATTTGTTCAAATAAAAATATCAAGTAAAATAGGAGGGAACCATCTGTGCAGAATACTGAACTGGAAAAACATCTGGCACCCTTAGGAATGAAAACCAAGGAAAATCAAGCAGGTCAAATGTCAGCAGAGATAAGACTAAGGATGGAATATTGGCCAGAAGAACCAAATATGACACACTAAACCATGTGGATAAACTTCAGGAAGGTGATGGATCACAACTGTCTCCTGGCGGGGTATCCAAAGTGCTTGCAGCAAGTCAGGTCCCTGGGCTGAAGGTAAGGGCCGGGTGTGGTGGTGCATGCCTATCACAGCACTCAGCAGCACTCAGAAGGCAGAGCTGGGAAGACCTCTGTGAGTTCTAGGCTAGCCTGGTCTGTAGGGAAAAGGGGCCAGCCAAAGAAACCCGCTCTGGCCCTGAAACCAGAGCTACTGAAAGAAACATACCCTGGCCCTAAGACCCAAGCCAGCAAAAGAAACACTTTAGCCCTGAACCCAGAACCAAAGAAACACACCCTGACCCTGAAACCAGAGCTAAAGAAACATACTTTGTCTCTAGAAAAGGAACCAATGGAAAAAAAAATACACCCTGGCCCTAAAATTAGCACCAAAAAGCTAAAAAGGACCAGTGGGGGGGAAAAATACAGTTTGGCCCTGAAACCAGAGCCAACTCTGCCCCTGACCAACTGACCAACAAAACCAACCAATCCCTGAGCAAGAAAACTAACCAATCCCTGAACACAAATTCTAGCACCCTGACCCTGAACCCAGAACCAAAGAAACACACCCTGACTCTAAAACCAGAGTCAAAGATACACAGTTTGTCCCTAGAATCAGAGCCAGTGAAAGAAATACACCCTGGCTCTAAAATAAGAGCCAAAAGGCTAAAAAGAACCAGTGAAAGAAACACAGTTTGGCCCTGAAATCAGAGCCAACTTTGCCCCTGTCCAACAAAACCAACCAGTCCCTGAGCAGGAAAACTAGCCAATCCCTGAGCAGGAAAACTAGCCAATCCTTGAGCAGGAAAACCAGCCAGTCCCTGAGCAGAAACTCCACCTCTAAGAAGCCCTATACAAGCCCCTCTGCCTGTTCAGTTGTGTAGTCAGAAGTTTTCTCTGGTCCTACCAGGCTCCCACAATCCCACAGCCTTTTTATAAAATCATACAGAGGCTTAATATTATTTATAACTGCTCAGCCACTAGCTCAGGCTTATTACTGATTAGCTCTTACACTTAAATTAACCCACAATTCTTATTTATGTTTAGCCATGTGGCTTGGTACCTTTTTCCAGTTCTGCCTTCACATCTTGCTTCCTCTGTGTCTGGCTGGTGACTCCTAACTCTGCTATTCCTCTTCCCAGCATTCTCCTTTAGTCTGCTCGCCCCGCCTATACTTCCTGCCTGGCTACTGGCCAATCAGCGTTTTATTAAACCAGTGTATACAAAAGCATTACCCACAGCACAGTTGGGGGCTGTGCTTTCCCACCCTGGCAGAGGTAGCCACTCTCCTGGACTCCTCCTTCCCAAATTAATCTCTTTCTTAAAAGAGTCTTGGGTAAAGATCTTCATTCACCAGTAGAACAGAAGAATCTTGCTGAGATCCCTTAGGGGGACTGAGCAGATAAAACCTTGTTTAGATGTTCCCTTAAGGGGGCTGGGTAAGGCTGAGCAGAAAAAAAGTAAAAACTTTTTGCCTGAGCCGGAGAACATTGCTACATTTCTGCAGGAGTTTCCGCTTTAGCAGAGTGAAGAAGAAGCAACATCTTGAGCCAGAGAAAAGAAGCCGAGCTCTTCTGGGAAGCCCCCTTAAAGGGGTGTGGGGTGTGGAGCAAAGCTCAGCTGTAATGGCTCTCTCTAGAAAAGAGCAGATTGCTACATCCTGCAGGGAGACCATCCCCCGCCTCACCTCAGTTTCAGGTATCACCTAACGTCCCAACAAGTCAGGACACCTCTCCCTCTAGAGCTGTCCTGTTGCAGCTCCAGGTGTGGCCTGGCTTCCTGACAAGTTAGGATTCCTTTCCCTCCAGAGCTGTAACACTCCCATGGGCTACATATCAAGTTCCAGGACAGCCAGGGCTCCAAAGTGGGCAAAGTGAGAGCCTGTCTCAAAACCAAAATAAAATAAAAAATTGGCTTATTGGAGCAAGGGAGTGAGTCATATCCCCATATTCTAAACAAACAAACATTTCAGATCTTCCAGAGTTCCAAGGGAGTGTCATGAACAAAGCAATAAGTCTTGCTGCTCCCATAGCCAAACTGAGAAATTGCTGCTCTCACCCAGTCATGAAGTAAATATTTGATATGCTGCTGTCTTTGTATTATTTAAAATTTCCATAACTTCATTTATATATTCCATAATGGAACTGTGCACTGCTCATTAATGATTTTAAATCTTTTTGAATTAAAGAAAATGTGCCTTAGAGAGAAGCAGGAGGGACATGAGTGTGAGGACAGTCCTCAGCTGACCCGGAAAACATGGAATTTTAAACTGAGACTGAATTCAATTCCACTTTCTGTCACTAACATAAAAAAGGGCACAAGAGCCAATGTGCTCAGTTAAAGAACAAGGTAACTTCTACATGCAGAAGCAGGTCACCCAAAATTCATATTTGTTAAAATAATTGGACATTTTACAGTATCTCTGTATTCCAAACAGTGGATCTTAGCCATTTGGAGAGCACATGTTGGTAGGTTGTGTGTTATAAACCTAACGCCAGGATTAACTGTAAACCAAACAACTTGATGTCTTACTTGTGTCTCTGAGCAGAACGAGATAGCAAGGTTAGAGGTCCTCCTTCTAGCTAGGCAGGTTAAAATGTGTTGGAAAGGGATAATATTCCCACTGGGTCACTCAATTCTTAAAAAATTAAATTTGAAAACTGTCACACACACAGTTGGGTGGGAAGTCTAGAAAGTTCTTGTCACTAAGCAACTATAGTACTCAGAATAAATACCAGGCACCACAGTTCTCCCAACTCCCCATCCTCCGCCCTAACTGATTACTCAGAGCCAGTGCCAGATGGCGTGTAATTTCCCCTGTACATATTTTATTAATTGCCTCTAAAATATAAAATATATTTTACAATGACAATAGCATTATTATCATACCTGAAATGAGGATAATCTTTATTGTCATAAAATTTATTATCATAAAATTTACAAGGCTTTTTTTTTTTTTTTTGACTACTTGAATCAGGACCCAAGTGAGCGACAACCTGCTAATGGCTGGCAAGCCTTTCCATCTCTTTTAATCCGTAGTTTCTTCTCTCATCTTTTCATTTCCCCCGGCAAGTTATGGGACAGGTTTTTATTGCAGTGGCTGTATGCCACAAAATGTCATATTGGGGATAAAGCTGGCTGCCGGGACAGCACTGTGTCCTGCAGCTCCTGGTGCAGAGGATGCAGCATCAGTATCTGTAGACAAGACAGCACTGTGTCCTGCATGCAGCTCCTGGTGCAGAGGATGCAGCATCAGTATCTGTTAGAAAACAAAAGCCAGGGAAGAAGGCAGATTGGGAGGGAGGAGCAGGTAGTCATGCTCCCTGCTTCATCACAGTCTGAGGGAAGACTCTCCCATGAGTCCTAGGTCACTACGGTGACCCAGACTAAGGTCCTCAGTGGCCTTCTCATTGCCTCAAGGCAAGGCCATGCTCATAACATTGTGAAAAAGCAGTTCTAACGGGCCTCAGTTTGCCTTTCCAGTCAGCGTCACCTGACCATAAAGGAACTAATCTATGTTCATGGTTATAACACCAAATAGAGGGGCTGGAGAGGTGGCTCAGTGCTTAAGATCATGTGCTGCTCTTCCAGAGGACACGAACTGGGTTCCCTGCACCTGAGTAAGGTGGCTCACAACAGCTTACAGTGAATCTCTTGCCCTCTTCTGACCATTAGAGGTAACTGCACTCATGTGCACACAATTTTAAAATAAAATAAAGCTTAAAATGAATCAAGCATTGTAGGTGGCTTTATAATGAAGTACCACAGACCTCTGCTCTCCTGTGTCCCACTGTTACTGCACTTTCCAAAATCAACTATTTTTACCTATTCAGTTGATTACCTTTATTTTCACAGATAACATCATTGTGCATTAATACAATAGATTGAAAATGATATCAAACAAGTTTCTTGCTTTGTTGACATGATGTTGACATGAGACATGCCTCTGAACCCCAGCTACGACAGCCCGCTGAGTCACTCACACCATCTCACCACCCTTTCCTGTTTCTCCAAATACCGCCTTCTTGGTTACTCTGAAAGCTACTAAGAGTCACGTGCCTCATTTGTGTTACATGCTCCTGACGTGTAAGCTTTATCAGCTGATTACTCCTCTTGGTAGAAACCAATAGTGCTTAAGATCTTGCCCTTGAAACCATAGGAGAGAGAAATCTGGAGAGAAAAATCTTCTTGTTTCCCAGAGGAGATATTGAAGTTATTTAATGGGCTCAACAAGAAAGGCATTTCCCACTGTTAGCGTCTGAGAATCTCTGAAGAAAGACTCCAGATCAAATAGAATGCAAACTCAAGGAGCGTTTATTCTGCAGAAACAGCCAGCATGCAGGGTCCATCATCCTCACAAAATGGCGATGACAGCCCTAGACAGAGGGCACAGGTCTTTTTAAAAGTGACTTGGGGAATTCTAGTGTGACGAGCTAACGTGATGGGCAGTCAAGGGGCAGTTGCATGGGGCACATGTTGATTGGGTGGGGCCAGCAACAGTCCCACCCACTGTGGGCCTTTGTCATATCAGTCAGTAACAGCCATATCCTGTAACTTTGGGCCCCCAAATTAGCTAAACTTGGCTGGGGACTTTCAGGACACAGGCTCAGTCCATTATCTACAAGGGAATTGTTCTGTGTCTAAGATGGGGAGGTATATTCCGGGCTCTTCACCAACGAGATTGGCAACCTGAGTTTGATTCCTGGGACCCACATGATAGGAGAAAACCAACTACTCTAAGTTTTCCTCTGACCTCTACACACATGCTATAGCAGATGTACACACACACACACACACACACACACACACACACACACACACACACACTAAAAGACATAAATAAATAAGTAAATAAACATAACTTTTAAATTACTTACTAAAAGGTATCACATTCCTACTGGAGAGGAAGTAGATATGACTATGAACTGTGCTCTAATCAGGCAGACTCAGCCTGATGACAGGCCTTGCTGGAACCCAGAGGATCAATACGAGCTAGTCTGACCTCTTCTTAGAGGCCAGAGAAAAACAGAAATCTACCTCCCAAACTGGTGCTGTAACTA